CGGGGCCAAAGCCGTGATAGGATCGAAGATAGTCCGGCAAGAGATATGCTCCGATGTCGACGGTTCAAACAAGACCACGTCTCCCTTTACGCTTCCTACAGTCACATCAGCTCTGGCAGCAAACGTCACACAGAGGTAGGATAAATATACCAAACGCCACATTACCATTGCGCATCCAAGCGGCCACTTTGAGCTCGTCGAAGGATGCGAACCTTGCGATCACCGAACCCGTAAACAAGTCCCAGACTATTGCCGTCTGACTAACATCATAGCTCACGACTAGTCTTCCTGCACCACGCTCACTGACATTGTCAACCGATATAAATCCGATTTTGTCGGTATGGCTTTCGAACCGTCGCTCGACAGCCAAGGTATCGTGGTGAAGGCATACAATGGCTGAGCCTTCAGCATACAGAAATAGGGAGGCCGTCGAGGCGCATGGCACAAAGGTAGAATCTGGCGTTAGAGCTTCCGATGTAATCGGCGGCGCTAATGTCTTCATCCTCGTCGGTCGTGAATTCGGAACCGTGGCCGCGCTCCATGACAGTTCGACCATGCTTCCGGATAGGTTCACTCAATGGTTTCAGTAATCCTGTTTCACGGTTGAGAGCCCACCCGATCTAAAAAGGCACTGGGTGTCCCAGCATGCAGAACAATTACGTCGTCGCCTGTTCGCTGTGGGTTTGCGATAACTGCCTTCACAGCTGCAAGTGGCTATAGTGAGGACAGCACACAGTCCACCGGGGCGTTAACGAGCATCCGACTGAAGACATAAGCGGAGCAGGGACAGGACTGTGTAAAAGAAGCCAGAAGGCCCGAGAGGACCCGAGCAGCGGTCAGTGATGACGGAGGGGGTGTAGGATTAAGAATTTGGGACCGGGACGGTACTCAAAAAATTTTAAAATTGGGGCAACAAGCGAATGCACCAATATGCAGGTGAAAAAACCAACGGAGGTGCAGCAGATGTACTAGGGAACCCTCGCACTAACCTGAAATCCACGTTGGTGGCATATGGGAGGGAGGGGAAAGATTAAGAAAAGAACTAGAGCGGAGGCGGGGAGGGGGTATGAATAAGGGGACGATCGGAGGGACAGGGGGTATATTAATTCTTGGTAACAGATATTGCTTTAAGGAGGCACGTTCCTCGAGCTCCTATGATTCCCTCTGATAGCGCCAGCCTCTCTATCAAGTTCATGGCGATCGTACCCCGTGCAGACCACCCACAGACTCTGACAATATGAGACGTCTTGCGAGACGACGGCCACGGACGATCAAAATCTCGAGTCATCAAGCAATTGGAGCTCGCGCCAAGGTGGGTTGACGGGCGCTTCCAGTGACCAGGATGTCAACCCGCAAGCAGGAGCGAACGGTCCAGGGATTTGATTAGTAGGAGAAGACCGATAGGACCCATCGATGGCTCGGCCGCACGCGCACCAACGAGCGTGCAGGGACACAACCTGATAATGGCATTGGCCGACGTCTGGCAGTCCATCTCCCCATACATGGCTGGGAGCTCTGGATAAAACTTCCACCCGATCGAAACTAGGTTAATTAGTACCTCATTAGAGCATCGGTCAGTGATCACGATCAAGTCCAATCCCACCGCATAATGCGAGAACATCGACACTGCGCAAGGTTTGGGGCTAATTGAGACGGCAGTAAGAGTACGGCCAATTGACGGTACCGGGATACACTGGGCGGGAAATGTAGTCAGACTAGAAGTATTAGTGGTACTACTTTGGTCAATCATTAGTATGGGTCATATTCATAAATAGATAAAAGGCAACTGCATGAAAGTTAGTGCTAACAGCTTAGTTGAGTAGTACGAAGAATGGATCGAGCAGTGGTAGTCGCAGTACTAGTTGATGAAGGTATGGGACAAAAGCGGGGGTTGAAGGGAGGAAGAAACGGTAGTAGTGATGGAGCGGCGGCAAGGTAAGGTGATCGCAGGTGATCCCAGGTGATGCAGCGGTGCTGATTGGCCTCCAACCTGCAGGCGGGCGTTTCTTCACACTGCAGCCCTCGTCACCTCCGCCCACCAATCACCGTCCGCAACTCCACCTCAAGTGACCTCCTCGGCGCGTAAATCTGTCGTGTCCAGGACGATAAACCATCCTCACTGGATTGTTGCCTGTCGCTTCATTCTCTCGAAGGATTGGTGGGATTCGTGCTAATTTCCTTCTCCCAACGGGCAATCGCGGCAACACCAAATCATATCTTCTAAACCGCCCACACAAACTCCACTACCATGCTATCACCCTTACCTGGTCGTGATATTGGGCACAGAGCCTCGTGGAGGCACCAGAGGAGTGAACCTTTTCGGTTTTATAAAGTCCTGGACGGGAAAAAGCAAGAATGGAGATCAGTGTCAGAGATCTGTCTCTTCCATATCTTCTAGTGCGCTTGATTGGTCGACCTGCTGCGTTCTCTCGCAACGACACTCGGATCAGTTTCAAAACAACCGACGGCTTCTAAACTTCAAGATAGCGACTTTCCAAGACATTCATTTAGCGCCCAAGCTAGGGAGGCCTTATCTGCCGATACACCATCACCGTGACTGTGATACAAGCTAGGCTTTAAGCCGACCATGTAGGACATGCCCTAATTCAGGGGGCTGTTGTCTCACTGTTCCGCATCGACCGAACATATAATTCAAACAATAGCAACAACAATTTCGAAAATACAGAGTCGAAAGACGGAGGACATACGGATAGTGGGCCAATACCGGTATGACGCATGCTTGATAGTAGTTACCCCTCAAGGTGATCTGATCTCGGATGCAATGTGATGTGATCAAGAAACGGCATTGTGATGGCGGGATACTTCGCTTCGCTCCTGCGGGTAGCAATCACGATTCCAAAAACCAAGGGCCGCTACGATGGTGATAAAGGATCATTGTACAATGTGATATGGCACAGAGAATTGATGATTTGTATCCACTGCCATTGAGGTAACCGAACCATTGGAGCTTCTGGTTCTCTCCTCTTGAACCTTCCGACGAAAGTCAAATTGACCACTTTCACGAACACGGAATAGTGTGACCCTTGTAACAACCCTAATAAATTGAGTCTTGCGAAGCTCCATTCCAGAAACAGGAGTCTGGACCTTGACCGCCCTCTCAAGTGCATCTCAAGAGCACGTTCGCGATAACATTTGCAAAAGTACGTGAAGATCATAGAGTGAGCCAGCTGGTGGGCCTTCCCCGGATTGCCTTTGGATATATGAGTGGTCCACTACTCACAGACTCACATCTCTTCCATTCCAGCTGCTATATGATAGGTGGAAAGCCAGACTGTAGATCAACCTCCTTCCAGAATAGTAAGGCTCAGTATTCCAGCTCTAATTATACGAAATGGTTCGAATTACATAATTATACTCTGGCGATGGTAGTTGTGAAAACGCAGCTGCACTCAGAAAGCTGTACGACGACTCCGATGAGTTATTGTTCACCATGAACCAGCTCACCGCGAGAGAGCTTCAAGGGTTACCTAGTTTAGCTGACAATTTGCTCTCTGTTGGAACTACGCTAATCATAGACAAGTCCTAGAAGCCCAGTGTAGTTGGAATAGACGATGTTTTCATCAAAGGGCAGATGTGTAAGCCTCCTTCTATTATCATAGTATGATCCTTGACCACTGCATTTATTGCAATACAGTTCATAGATACATCCTCGATAGGAAATAGTATGAGGCATATTGTATACTGTCGCTTGCTGGGACCGAAGGAAAGGAGGATATGTTCAATTACAAGACTTTTTTTTCTAAGAGTTCGGAGTCTAGCCTGGAGAGACTTCAGACATGCCAATCTTAGTTTGCCTTAGCCGCTGCAATGGCGCGTCGACATAGTTGACAATGAGCAGTCATAGCTGTTATGGTATTGAATTCAGTTCAACGACACAACCAGTGAAGGTAAAGACAAAAGCAGGAACTGCGTTCTTTGAATGGAAATCACTACAGCAACCACAACATTAGCCATGTGAAAATGCCTTGTTGACCTTCAGGTAGATGCTTAGAGGATCTTATATTCCACAATTACCGTGGATTTGCAATTTTTGATGGGTTCGCTCCTTTTCAGTCTTTCCCCTTCCATTTCGGACAACGGCGTAACACCTGCATTGCTTGCACAGTGGGTACAACCCTTTCCAAAACATTGGACTTGAATGTATCGTTACGTGCCCCATAACACTCCCATATTCCCGTCTTGACTGCTATAAGGCGACCATATATCTGTTGTACTTTTTGGGGGGGTGTGTGACAACCATGGAGAGTCGATATGATCTAAGACATATAAAAATGAAAACCCGAATGGATTCAATTGGTTTTTGTTGTTGTATCTAAAAGTAAAGAGATCAAGATACATGATATCATTGTAATGACTCAAGGGACCACACACAGGCAGAGTAAAATGAAATGGACAAGGTCAAAAATAGTTCGAAGAGGTCGGCCGCTCTGCAGTAGCCTTTCTTATGAACCTATCCATCACAGAAACTACTAGGACCACTGGGTAACCAAACTAAAAGCAACCATTGTTCAACTGTTCTCATGCATCCTTCGCTGTTGATGAATAAAATCCAAGTGAGCCCCAGAGTGAGCGGGGCAGTCTACGAGAATGTACTGTTCTAAGATTGAATATTCCGGCAACTCAGGGGAGGATATTATAGCCCGGATCACATTGAGCAGATGGGTATATTTACAGTACTGTCCGGAGTAAGTAACCGGAGAGTATGAGCCAGTCTGAGGCTGTATACCCTACAAGACGAGATCAGGTTTCCTCATCACCTATGCATGGGCCAAGATCACTAAAAATTCATCAAAGGTTGTAGTGTCTTGAATCGAACTATACAAATCAAGTGGCTCTAGGACGCTTGATACACACCAATATGTGACAGAATAAAAATGCGCATGAAGAAAGAAGCTTCACAGAATGACAGTAATATCCAGGGTACATGAGGGGCGCAGTCCTTGCCCCTTCCACCATAGGGCCAGATTAGAGTTTCATAACTAGGAGAAAACAAGACCCTTTCTTATATTACCAAATGTTGCAAAGTATAAATCGGAAAAGTAACCAGTACGTGACACCCACGGCCGTTGGTCTGACGCCTTTGGCAGCTCCTTTGCTGCTCGCTTGACGTAAGTGGAACTGAGACCCATCACAGACTTCATGCCCAGCTGACCTTGATGCCCAAGAGTAGGAATAGCAGTTGAATAGCCATTGCCTGCCATGTGTTTCAGGATCTTACAAACAAGCTGCATGGCAATATCAGCCCCAAGCGTCCATGAGGCGTTCACGTAACCCATCACCATTGCTGCGTTCGGGAGATCCTGGAGCATAAGGCCATTCCACGTGTATTTTTCGGACGTATCCAGCCTCTCTCCTTGGATGTATATGGGGATGCCACCGAAGAATTGCATTCTTAAACCAGTCGCCGTGACGATAACATCGGCGTCGAGTCGTTTCCCAGACGCCAATTGAATCCCGCCTCCATCAACCATCTTAATCACCCCCGTCTCAACCTTCGCTTTTGTGGATCTTACGGCCCTGAAGAAGTCTCCGTCTGGGCAGGCACAGAGCCTTTGATCCCAAGGGTTGTAGCGAGGTACGAAATGGGGATCTAAAGGGACACTTGGTGGCAGTTGCGCCCTCATGCCCTTTTGCAGCATGGATCTCGCAGCGTTTGGGAAGGTATGACAAAAGCGATAGAACAACTGGGGAACCACCAGATACCACAGTCGACGGACATAGTACATCATTGACCTTGGTAATAGTCTGGCCCAGGTGGTGTTGAAGCGATCATTCGGGATGGAGGCAAGATAGGTAGGGCTGCGCTGCAACATCGTCACGGATTCAGAGTCCTCTGCGAGTGACGGTATAAGTGTCACTGCGGTCGCACCACTGCCAATAACTATAATTCTTTTGCCTAGGGCATCGAATTTGTCCGGCCAGAACTGGGGATGAATCACTTCCCCTTGGAAATTCTGTAGCCCAGGAATTGTGGCTTCCAAGGGGTTGTGGTAATCGTAGTAGCCGGTCGCAAATATTACAAAGCGAGCGCTTAGTGTTTCTGAAGTATCCCCGCTTTGTACGTCGAGGTTCCACTCATGACCGTCCCATTTGGCTGCCTTTACTCGATGATTGAGGCGGATATGCTGCTTGATGCCATATGCAGTAGCCGCATCGTCTAGATACCTCAAGATGTCCGCCCCTTCTGCGATGGGGTTCGATTGATTCCATGGAAACCACTTGAAACCAAAGGTGTACAGGTCAGAGTCTGATCGAATGCCGGGATAGCGGAAAAGATCCCAAGTGCCCCCGATGTTGTTCCGGGCCTCCAGGATGGCGACGCGGTAGTCAGGGAAGTCAGTCTGGAGACGATAGGCGGCATTGATGCCAGATATCCCCGCTCCGATAATGAGGACATCAAATGAAGTTGATAACATCTTGAAGAAAAGATAGGATATAAGTCGGATGAATGTATAATGTTGCTACATATCATACGTTGGGGTAGGGATATATATATGCAGAGATGCGGCGAAGGACTACAGTCAGGTGGATCAACACTAGTATGCCCCCCTTACCCTCCTACTAGTATTTTCCACCCCGAGGCCAATTACAAGATCTTCGGTTATCCGCATCATGGTCATGTACAACAAATTCCGACCTCATACTTCGTTAGTGGGGTGGTGCCGTTGAGATGGCTCTAGGTTTCCCCAGAGTGGTAAAAACCCTCCGCCTGGGCTCCACATGCAAAACGTAGAACTTAAACTTGCGAAGGATTATCCTAGGTTCGGCTCGGTGGTTCCAGGTTTATTTGATAAAAAAGTTGGAGTAGCGAGGCCTGCAAGAGCTATAAAAAGACCAACAGCGACCCATCGCCATGGCTCTTCATCACAGGAACCAACACTATTGCCTATCAAATAATCAATATGTCTGCCAATCATCTGCTACAGCTTTGTTTGGACAAGGCTCAAGCCCTCTTTTCCCAACTACCGCCTCATGCTCAGGACTATCTGTCGCGTCCATTTGTACGCAAGGCAATCGCGTTTGTGGCAGCTATTCAGTCGCTGAGAGTTGTCAACAGATACTTATCCCAAAGGGCACAGAACAACTGGGTCCACGCGCGCCCTTGGGATGCATCTAAGGAGTTGGTACTTCTGACGGGAGGAAGCAGTGGAATCGGGAAGCAGATAATGCAGGACTTGTCCAAGCTGAAAGTTAAGATTATCATTTTTGATGTTCAGGAACCCAAGTTTCCTTTGCGTGCGTGATCTTCAGCAACGGGTATCACTGAACATTCGCTAACGGACAATGTAGCATCGAATGTGTTTTTCTACAAGGTCAACCTTACATCTTCTGCCGAAATCAAAGAGGCAGCTACAACGGTACGGAGAGATCATGGTCATCCGACGGTTTTGATCAACAACGCCGGTGTTGGCTGTGCGGGAACCATCCTGGACGAACCGGAAGAGAAGATACGCCTGACCCTTGAGGTCAACGCTCTATCGCATTTCTGGACTGTGAAGGAGTTCTTGCCTAGTATGATCAAAAATGACCATGGCCACATCGTGAACATCGCCAGCTTGGCCAGCTTTGTAGCCATAGGAGAGTTGGCCGACTACGCTTGTTCGAAAGCTGGGGCGCTTGCCTTCCACGAAAGTTTGACCCAGGAGATCAAGCACTGGTATGGCTCAAGAAGAGTGCGCACAAGGTTAGTTCCCCCCCTCATATATCTGATTAAAAGCGGGCAGCCTCTAATAAAGGCCTATTAGTGTGATCCACCCGTTGTGGGTTCAGACACCCATGATCAATGACATCACCCAACACAGATCACGGTTTGGACAGCCAATTATGACACCTGAAAAGGTCTCCCAAGCAGTGGTGAAGCAGCTTGTGAACGGAAATGGGGGCCAGGTCGTTGTTCCCTCGTCTCACGGCTTCGCTTCCATGATCCGCGGGCTTCCGAACTGGATCCAGGAACTCTTGCGAGATAATGCCTCGCAAGGTTTGGTCAGATTGCGGCGCCTGGAGCAGGAGCTGGCGAACTCGTAAAGTTAGCAGGGTGCCATGAGTTGATTGGACTTGGGCAGGTGTTTTTTACCGTTTGTGCATGATGTCGATAATAACACGTGTCCGGGGTAGTTAACGAGTGCTCTATTTTATTGGCTGTCTCCGCATTCCGCTATCCCATAAATCGAAAAAACCCTCCGCCAGTGGAGAGGATCATCGGTCGCCACTTGATAGACCCATACGTAGCTCCAGGTCAGCCATTCTCAGGACTCAGACGGAAAACGAGCGGAGACTGCCAAGCTTTTCAACGTCTCCATCGTACCCGTTCGGATTCCGAAAGGCCTCGGCAACTCGGCTTCTTATATGGGAACTAGACTCCCCTTGCTCCACTCCGGCCTTACAGAGTCTAATCGTGATGGAAAGGAGGCTCATGATGCAGAAAAGAGCTTGCGATCAATGCTATAATAGAAAGAAGAGATGCTTGATACGCCCAGCTTCCTCCATATGCGTTCGGTGTGAGAAATCATCTCTTGCCTGCACCGTCTCCCGACAGCAACTACGTGGAGGGCGCCCGCCGAAACAAGGGCTTCCTGGGGTAGCGAAAGAGTCCCTCGCCGTATGGGACTATGCCCTATCTGCGGGTAGCCCTGAGGAGGAAGCTCGGGAGGAACCCCAGCTCGTAATCAAGTCCAGCTCAGTCAAGGAGTCCGGCGAGCGGTCTCCGGAGTCCACACATTTGGGTTTTCCTCGGCCCCTAGAGGTTGTGGATTTCTATCTTCTAAATGATATATATATGTTTGGATTCACGTTTGCAGAGGACTTCCAACGAGCTCTGGAATACTGCCACCTTCATTCCCCGGGCCTGCTGGATGAAATCTTCACTGCTATCACTAGCGGTCTCTCGTGGGCCCGTTTTGGCTTGCTCACTGCCGATCAAGTTGATGTGAGAAGCGGCGCTGCGTCCGTAGGGAAGCTCAGAAATGCGGTTATTGCACATACTCATGACGCACTCGCAGTTCTCATGTTGGGGCAGGCATTGGCTGCGTTTGATTCCCTGGTTACATCCACAGGAGCAATCTCAATTCTCCGATGCTCTTTGTACCTTGTTCTCCCATGGTATTCGGATATTGCTCGCAACCGATTTATGGAACCCATCGCGATCGCACCCATCTTGTGGGACACGGTATGGTGCCTGCTGCATCGTCAGGTACCGGTGATCCGACCGCTGTTCAACCGTGCGGGAATCGTCGATCGAGTGGCAGGTCTCTGTACATCGCTGCTCCCGATCCTCTACGATCTGTGTATCGTTAGTCATCGTCTGGCAGATGGATCCGCCCAGGAAACGATCCTTGAGGGCATTGAACACCAGATCCGGAGCTGGTCCCCTGATAGCCCTGGTACCTGTTTGGAAGCGTACAGCGAAATAGAGATATTATCAATGCGCACACAGGCAGTGATGTATCGAACTGCTGGTCTTCTTCTCATCCATCGACTCCGGTATCCGCTGACCGTTGAGGATGCGACCGCAACTGCCCTTGCCAATGATATCCTCGAAGCTAGAACCCAATTCTTTGCGAATGCTGGCACCGGTACTAAGTTACAAAATACCTCTTTCCCCCTGTTCCTTGCCCTTTTAGAAATTCCCATCTCGCTGGAAGGGCTCTGGGAGAGCTCGACATGGCTTCGGACTCGACCAGCCTGTGTGGATAGTTTGTTTGCCTTCAACCATTATTACTGGGCTCAGCGGCGTTCGGGATTCAAGGGCTCGCTGTTTGACCTCATAGAAAGCGGTCCCGAATTTGTTCCAAGTCCATGAAGCCCACCATCGCGATATGTACCAAACCATGATTCCGTCTTATGCCCTACCAATTCGCTTGAGGCATCCAGACCCAACGTCTCTGTGCACATATCCCTTGTGACTTGTAAAAACGAACATATCCAGTTTTTTCCAAAACAGATCGTTTCGACAATACATGTCAACGGGAACAGGGGCACTCTATACCTTTCCAAGCTCATTATACCCATGGGAATGCTGCGAATGCACTTTATATACCATGTATCGTGTTATATGGCAAGAATTCGAGCTTGGGCCTCATTGCTTCTCAAGACGAGGCATACTCTTCTGACATTCACATCCTGGACGTCTTGAGGGCCCATGCAGCTTAGTATGCCTCCGACACCTCAAGATAAAGCTCAAGCTTATGAAGAAGGCTGAAGGAGCTCCTACATGTCACTAGAGGGCCCAAAAGAAACGATCAAGCAGCCCTACTTCTTTAACAAAACAATCAAGGATACAGCGGCTAGGCTCAACTAAGGGCCACTTCATAACAATGTCAGCAGATGAGGCCCAAAGATATTCGATATATCATTTGAAGTCCACACTAAACCACCTGAGGGGTAAATTTAGAAATTTACAGACTGTAAATTGCAGCCAGTATCAGTATACTTGCGGAGCTTAGTATTATTCTTCTACTTATACTTATACAGAAGAAGATTGAAACACCTCGTTATCACTAGTAATGAAAGTCACATGAACCGGCATCCCTAGTGTGATTCTCACATTCTCGCCTCTTTTATATTGCCCATCCCTCATTCATCAGACCAGTATCTAATCTCCAATGACTGTAGCGGTGATGGAGAAGAAAAAGTCCCTTCCCATCGATAGAGTCGACGCTGAAACATGGAATCGCGATCTGATGGAAGCCTTCCGCCAGGCGCTGGAGAAGGACCCCGCAGCAGACCTTCTATCTATTGTCGGGACGAGATATATTAGTGCACATCGTGTTAATCAATTCACGGGTCTATCTGAGGCCAGTCGGCTTAACTTTAAAACCGTTTATTGTCTCCAAGATCAGGTACATTCCCAACCCGAAATCAACTTGCGCGATGCTTTCCCCGCGGACTACGATCGCCAGTACAGATGGGCCAAGCCAAAGGAAGAAGACAAGTCCCCACCAATGCAGCAGCCAGAACCGCCGCGCGACTCGCTTCGCGAAAGGCTTGAAGCTGTAAACACTGCTAGCATCATCTACCCACTATCTGCCCAGGCGTTGGCGCTCGCCAATCAACATCTTGCGGCGGATGATTCTTCTGAGAAAGTACCCCTTTCAGTTGCTCTGAAAGACCTGATCTTGAAGTCTGACAGACTTTTCGAACTAAGGATTAGAACTGGTGCTGTTGTTAGATGCAGTGACGATATTGTTATCAAGATCTTTCCCAGCAATCGAGATCTTACTGAGTACCATAATCTCCAGTATCTCGCTGAAAATGCCCCCGATTTACCAATTCCTAAGCCTCATGGCCTCATCATGCTTGGTAATATCGGTGCCATGTTTATGTCATATGTTCCAGGGATCGCCTTGCACTAGGTATGGTCACGCTTATCCCATGAAGGTAAACTATCCATACAAAAACAGCTGGGCGATATATTCTCTCGCCTCAGAAGATTACACCAGGAAGACGGAACTGAACTTGAGGGCGTACGCGGAGAAGGAGTCAAAGACTACCGCATTATGGAAACTCTCGCGTACAAAGGCATAACCACAGCTAGGGGTTTTGACGAGCTGCAGTTCTCGGCAAGGCATCGCGCCAGTCCTTCCTACGTCAAGTTACTTCGGCCTTTCTTGGATGAAGACAGCAAATCCCTAGAAGGTTCCGTATTTAGCCATGGTGATTTGAAGAAATCCAACATCGTGGTGCAAGAAGACCCAGGGAATGCCGACTTTTACATGGTCACCGGGGCTATCGACTGGGAGGACGGTGGTTTCTACCCTGAGTACTACGAGTCTACCAAGTTGTCTAATGTACAAGGCATCATGTCTGACGACGATTGGTACCCCTATGCGCCACACTGCATCTCCCCCTTACGGTTTCCTGTACGCTGGCTAGTTGACCGACTCTGGGGCACTCTTTTATGGAGTTGGAGGAACTGACATAGCGCGATGAAATCGCGGAAAGACTGTGTCAATTGAGCAAGATACAGAACATTTAACGAGATATGCACTGACCATTTAAACAATTTCATGAACGTTCTTCCCCCTTATCTCTGGCTTTCAGTAATAATAGTCCTTCTAACCCAAACTTTACGGCCACGACTCGTGTTTCGCTGCGACCGCCTCCTTGTTCCTGATATAACCTGCTTCCGTTGCGTCGATAATGAATACATCCTTGAACCAGTCTAAGATATCGAGGACTCTAGCTTTTGTTGAGGGCCTCATGTGATAACCTGCTGTTGCATGGTCTGGCGAGGCAAGGTTGCTTGATTGTAGTGGGGTGAGACCGAAAAGTATTTTTCCAGGTAAGGAGATGAAGTGATGTTATTTCGTCTATGTTGATACTGTACTTGCCCAAATTTCCCATTTCCAGAGGGGCTTGTCATACCAAAGTCTCCTGGAATGCTGCCAGAATAGCATTCTGCTATTGCGGGTCTACAAGGATTGGCACATTTAAACATATTTGAGGATTTTGTTGAATAGCTCCTTCAGCATTGTGGTAGATGGCTATACCTTGAAGTCTATTCTTGTTATGATGAACCCAATTCAAGAATTCTTTGTAGAGCTTAAAGTAGTAGAGCTTAAAGTATCTGTGATACAAAATTAGCAGACCTATATAGATATTAATTGAAAAGAATTCCTTGAATAGAGTCTAGATGTTATGGGGACAAGAAGAGCAAGCAAACAAGGTCATTCTCGACTCGACATACAAACATTAAATTTGAAGAAGAATCAAGATATACGCATAATATATCGTGGGGTATATACTACATTAACTCAGCACTGATAATCGTCTTCATCAGAACAGTTTTCATAAACGGAGGGACCGATATGAGTAGACAATGCTCTTTTCCACTCTGTTCCACGTTTTCTAGAATGAATATGGTTCTATGAGAGACCTCAGCGGGCGGTGCTGGCAGTCGTGAAGACTGGACAAGCGGGCAGGAGAATGAAGCTGTTGCAAATCCTCACGCTGTGCAATGTCATTTTAGGATAGAACACGAGAGAAAGTACACTTCAGATGATTTTATGTCTCGAGGACTTGTCCGTGTCCGTTGTATTGGCCAGATCCAATACATTAACTACTCATCATTGAGCTTAGAGGCAATGATTTGTTTCCACAAAACAACTCATTTAGTACTAGATGTATCTGATACTAATATCGAGGAGTGGTCACCAACACAACAGACCAGCGTCGTACTATCTATCGCTATGGCATTGAATATGATTATTGAGTAGGATAGTATGCTTAGAAACTAGCGAAAGAAAGTGTAAAGGAAACATGAAAGAAAACATTTGCAATGAAGGAACCCATGGGCTCCGCAACTCAGGACACAGAAGGGGGGCTATGGTTGAGGGTTAGCAATATTTTTGAAAGATATTAGTGACTCAAACAATCCAAGGTGCGCAGGAACATACGAATTGAATGACTTTGACACGATTCCGAGATCAATGATATTGATTTGTCTGCTGTCTTCCAGGATGACCCGACAACAGCTCGCATGTGCTAGTTCTGCTCAGCGGGGCTGTCGGAACAATGTCCATGAGCAAACTGATGGATGACGGTGGTGGAAAGAGCTGGTGAGGAATATAGATCGCATTCGCCGCCCCCTTCAACATACGACCATGCCTGACATCCCTTGACTCTCTCACAGTACTGTCCACAGGCTGTGGCGTTGAGCAATCCGTACTTGAAGGCGATGGGTGCCCCATTGAATGATGCAACTCGTTGTAAGTCAGCTCCGAGAGACAGTCAGCCGATGCTGTCGCCAGAGTCAAAGAGCACAAGATGGCTGCTAGGTGTCGAAGCGAAGTTGTGAACAACATTCTCAAGACAGATAGGTTTCTGGGGCAGTATGGGGGAATGGAAGAAGGAAAAAGGGAACCGGAATAGACAGAAAGGAACGAAAACTGTCGACAACTATGTAGGGTCTTGTCAAGTATATTTTCAGATCCCACCTGTTGCCTACTGCTAGCTAGCTAGAGCGTTGGAGAGGCAATCAAACCCTACTACGGCGGAACGAACGGAAATTACCTTGAACTATTGGCAGGCACTAAAAGCTACAATGCTACCCTGCTGGAGTTGATGTTTCACTTCCATTTACCTTAGCGACTTGAACTAAAGAGATGGTTCCGGGGCCGGCTCGCTTGGCACCGCCCACATACTCCATATTCCGGTCAGCCGTGGGAGATTAAAATGAGCCTCCTTCCTGTACGAGGCAACATATTTCAACTGCTCTTGGTCTCATCGCCTAACTTGGGACTGAATAGGGATTATTAACGGATACTCTCATCTCTCATTACCGAAAATATTCCGTCCATTTTCAGATCCATAGCGAAAGCAAAAGAAATGGGTACCGATCCATTCGGCCGACTTCCCTGGTTTGTCCTGCGAAGGATCCTATCAAACCTTCCCAGTCTACCAGCGCTGCATAGCCTCTGCAAGGCGTCACCGGATATTGCGGGATTTTTACACCAGAATAATGATCTTTTTGCCCTGATCGTGGATGCGATTATCGACAATCCGGTCCGCGAAAGGGGGCTGGCGCCACATGTTCAGGATATCATACGACTCATTATCCTCGTCTGGACTCCAATGCAGGAACTAGATACGGATATCCTTGGCATTTTACATTACGTTCAAGAGCGTCGCCTTGGATACCCTTCTAATCTCAAGACAACATCTCCGTCAACACCCTCGGCTATTCTATATCGCTCCTTCGCCTAATACCTCGACTGCGATGTCTTATCCACGCATATTTCCATTCTACAATCAAAAGGTGCCTCCAGCTGCAGCTAGAGCATTTGCCTCGCAAAACCTTATTTTACTCTACACGCCCGGTACTTGATCTCAGCCGACGTCCCCAGCGTGGTATTCCATACACCCCTGTTGATATTGGCCCACCGACATGGGTTGAGGAGCAAAGGCTACTCAGTAGTTTCTTATGTATTGTTCTTTTTTATGAGCTGCGGGAAAAATATGTTGAATGTTCTCTGGCCATCGAAGACGGTGAGACTGTCAGCGCTTTGTTGGACAACAATGTGGAAATGTTTTGGAGGAAAGTCCTCTGGGAGCGCTCTGCCGAAGGCCAGGAGGAGCAGATAGCAACTCTTCTTCACTGGCTAGATCAACAGGCGGACGGACGTGAAAATATATATTCCTGGTTGCTATCTGCCAAGGTTTCGGAGGATTATAGCCATTGTTGTCAATGCTATACAACTGTGATAACTGCGCAAATGGACATCTCAGATATTATGGACAACGACCTGAACAACAGGCGATCGTCCAGGGGTATGCGGTGTTTATGGTCGTGTAAATACGATCCTAGATCGCCCCTCAAAGGCCTCAGTCTGTCGGTCTTTCGTCCATATGGCCTTGTATTCTGGGATGGTGCCAGAATGGACGCCCTGGGCTTTCCAAGTAGATTGATTTCACACCGAATATGGTTCGCGTGGTCCTCTATATTCACCAAAGAGGATTGGGAGGAACTGCTAAGACGGCAGTCCGCTATTGAAGCAGGTGCTCAATTCCAAGACTAAGAATCAGATCTATTATACATTTTCCTAGTGTTCCATGAAAATGTCCAAAGGGCTGCTTCCAAATTACAAATACTTCTTACACTCTATTCACCGTACTCTACCGCATCGAGTACAAAATGCTGCACTGAAATTGATGTCCTTTTTAGCCATACACGGAGGTAGAAACAACTGGATTCTCAAGGCAACTAATTCAATCGAAAATGTAATTCTAGCATCTAGATACAAAATCAACCCTCTGTGGTTCTAATAAACCGCAGATAATGTTACCCCCTGTTTAATCGTTTTGTTCAGCGGGGTCAATCTTAAAGTACAGCATCGCTTCGCCATCCGCTCCAAATACCGTAATTGAGGAAACTGTCAGAAGACCTAGTTGGGCCTTATGTTGAGTCAACAGCCAGCCAATACCACGACCATTCGGACAGTAGAGCAGCGCATAGTACTCATCAGAGCCTGGCCGGAAGGTTCTCCCGTTCTTCTGCATTGGCGAATACTTCTCCCAGTCGTCGAAGTTATCTGCCTCACCAACGGCTTGCCGCATAGTACTCAACGACTGTTCGTTGATGACTATACTTTGAAACATATGCCGCAATCCCCCGGGAGCACCCTTGGTAAATCTCTCCCGGAGGAGAAATGTCACATCGGACCACTGCCTTAGGGGCACAACATCTTCCATGGGTGTTCCTTTTCTCTTCGCATGCTCCTGGCTGATAGCATTGTCCACCACAACCAGTCCGGCATCTGCATTGAACAGACTCTTATATTCCAGTCCAGATTCCTAAAGGCTGTCAGTAGGTGATAACAATAATCAAGAATGGGAAGACTGCCTACCTCATATGCTTTACTGTCAATGGTTACGGGTAGTGATTGATCAACTTTTATCATCTTGATTTGGTTTGCATCAAAGTTTAGTTCCTCGTAGATGTCCTCCAGAAGCCCATGGGCCATTGCTTCCTGCGGGTCTCTCGATTTGTCCAACTCCCATCCGCTTTTTATCAAGTCCCCATGGTTTGTCCAGGGTGTTCAGCAAATACACCAGTTGGTTGATAATGACGAGATATCTATTGGGAGGGAGCACCTTGGCCTCCGCTTTCACTCATACCAAGTCAACTTTAGCCACTGCCATGATGAAAATGAATTAGAACTTATCAAAGACATGACGACTTGCTCAGATTCACTAATGGGCAGGGTAGGCCAGGCAGGGATGGGACCTAGGCGAGAACAGTGAATCCCGAGGACTGTGATATCGACTGCTCTCCAATAAGTTCCCGTAAACACAGAGTATCGATGGACAATCCAGTCAGCAGTCAGTAGTCCCTCTTCCTTCTCGTTACTCGCTCCCAGAATGCCAATCGAAATTGTCCCACTTTTCAGAATCATCATAGTTCCCATTCACGGTATACAGGACCATAGCTATGTCCCTAATAAGAGTTACTTGAGCTTTAAAACAACACCTACAAATTACTCAACACTCACCTTTCCCGGCGAATTTATGAAAATACCAGCTTATTGTATCAATATTCAAGACACAAAGAAATAGGAAAAGCAAATGTGTACTATCTCTACAACATCCGCACGTGATCGCTAGATACAACAAGCATTAGGGTGCGGGGAGTCATGTGAATTGAAAAGAGTGCCTGGGGACCCCAATTGTGGCTGCCTGAGTTAAAACTTAACAGTGACGCGTTCCTGATAATTCCCACCGGATCCACCACCAAGCGAACGGAACGTGAAGGATTTATGCGCAGGATAATCTTACTTTCCTCCCAATTGCTCTGATTTCTATCCAAGCTTTCCCTATCTAGATTGCAATGGATTCCCATACTCCACGCGAAACCGACCGGTTACTAGGAAACGATGCCGATTCTGATACTCCACTCCAAAAATATCGTCGCCACAGACTTATCAACCATCTTACCTCAGACATAAATCCTAACCATGGGGACCTTATTCTTCTATTTTGCTACGTGATCACTGGGCTGCTCGATAGCTCTGCTGTCTTTGTCTGGGGCTCTTTCGTGAGCATGCAGACCGGCAACACTGTCTACCTCGGACTCGGTCTCATGGGAGCCGATGAGAGCACTCGCTGGCTCAGAGCATTAACTTCAATCGCCAGTTTTTGTGTGGGCTCATTCTGCTTTGCCTCTTTTCACCGACGGTTCTCTCCTCGCAGGCGCTGGGTGCTCTGTCTTTCATTTACCATCCAGATGCTCTGCGTAGCCACAGCTGCTACGATTGTGACCACCCACCAAACTTCTAGGGACTCCCCTCTAACCTGGAAGGTTATTGTTCCACTGATGCTGGTGGCTTTTCAGAGTAGTGGTCAGGCAGTGACAAGTCGCGCCCTGCAGTTCAATGGTCTCACTAGCGTGGTGTTGACAAGTGTGTATTGCGACTTATTCTCTAGCCCAGAGCTTCCCCCCTTGTCGATGTTACATGGAGTGGAAAACAGGCGACGTGGCGGGGCAGTGGTGTGTCTCCTGCTTGGGACGATGCTGGGGGGTCTGTGGGCCAGGAGCCCGGCTGGACTAATGGGGGCGTTTTGGACCGCAGTTTTGTGCAAGGCTTGTATTGCTGTTGCCTGGTTGGTTTGGCGGGGGCAACCAACGGAGAGCATGGAGGATGATGGGCTGGACCAATGATATTCATGTTATTAGTTAGCGATATCTAATGCCAAGGGGCTGTCCTATCATATCTCACGCCCCTGAGGATATTCCAACTCAGCCCTACTGTAGGGCTGACCCGGGGCCCCCCTTGGGTCCACTTCTCCTGCGCAAATTATTATGAAAGCTCTAGCCTTGCCTTGGCTTATAATCTTGGCGTAGGGAGGAAATAGAAATAGAATGAAACTATTCATTGACTGTCAGGATGAAGCAGATCGGTTTCTTCGAACGTTAACGGTAAAGCTGTTATGTGCAGTTTTCTCCTTTGGACTCCTTGGGATGGCTCGAGGTAGGCTACATGGCTTTTCTACAAGAGTACCGTTTGACAAATTCCAGGACTGGATGAAGGCCTCATATCGACCACAGTGGCCCAACCGTCCTTTATTCATGAGTTCCACCTTGAGGATGCCGACCTCAGCGCATCGGAGAAAGCCAACCGGCTCTCCAATATAACCTCTATGGTCCATATCGGAAGTATCCCTGGAGCAGTATTGGCTTTTATTATGTGCGAACACGTCGGGATGCTCTGGACCATGCGACAGCTGTGTATTATGTGGGCAGCTGGCGTAATCATTGTTATTACAGCTGCGGGGAGTATTGGTCAGGTCTATGCTGGTCGCTTCATCATGGGGTTAGGGATTGGACAAGCCGGGGTCGTCGTACCCATCTATCTCTCTGAGGTGGCTACCCCGTCGCTCCGAGGACTTATGGTCTGCACATTTGCTACGTCTGAGTACATGGGGATTATGATAGGGGTTAGCATTCTCTCATCATTCACGATAGACTCGACTACGGTGACTAACCGGGATCAATCTAGTATTTTTCAAGCTGGGGAACGACCATGCACATCTCCAACAACAGCTCAAAGCAATGGATAATCCCACAGTCTATCCAGATTTTAGTTTCTGGCATGCTTCTGCTTTCGTCGTTCTTCTGTGAGGAGAGTCCCCGATATCTATGTAAAGCCGGGCGCTTTGCCGACGGTACCCAGGCCCTAAGTCGGCTGTGGAATATACCAATACACGACCCACGCATTCAGCACGAATTCGAAGGCATTCTTAATCAAATGGGAGACACACCAGTAGGGACGAGCATCCAGCGCTTGGGCAGGGCTCTAAAGCAACTTATCACAGACAAATCCAATCTATCAAGATTGGCATTTTTGGCGATCACTCAGGTCCTGAGCCAGTGGTCTGGTGCCACTTCCGTTACCAGTGAGTGTTGAGGCCGGATAAAATAAATGAACAATAACCAACTATTGTGCAGCCTATGCCCCGAAGCTCTTCTCACTTCTCGGGGAGACGGGCCAGTCCCAGAAGCTCCTGTGCACCGCCATTTTAGGTGCCGTCAAATTTGTTGCGTCGCTTATATGCACAGTGTTTCTGATTGACTATACCGGACGAAAACGCCCTCTGATTACAGGAATTATCATTCAATTCATAGCTATGTTCTACATTGCCATCTATCTAACCGTCGCATTGCCATCCACCCACCCCATTAGTTCAAATTCAGAGCACAATGCAGCCATCGTTGCCATCGTCTGTCTCTATCTCACGGGTGTGGGCTGGGCCCTGGGGTGGAACTCGATTCAGTACCTTATAAACGCGGAGATTCTCCCACTATCTGTGAGAACAGTAGGGTCCAGTGCACTCATGTGCTTCCATTTTGCCAATCGATATGGTCTGTCTAAGGTACAGTTCTTTAGCGCTGGAACCGCATGTAGATCGCTAACATAACCTTAGGCAGTTCCGTCCATGTTGCTCGACCATGCACTACAGCCTGAGGGGACATTCTGGCTCTTTGCTGCGGTTACAATATTGGGCTTAGTATGGGTTTATTTTCGACTCCCAGAGACCGCTAGGCGGAATCTTGAGGAGGCGAACATACTGATCTCATGAACTGTAGGCCATGGCTCCTCTGTTTTCCCTTAGATACTACGAATGATATGCTAGGCATCAAGGTATAACATCATCTTTTGGATAGAGATAGACTAGATCCGACGGTGCTCAAGAAACCTATTAGGAGTGTGGAAATCATAGTTCACAAGATTACAAACAAAATATCACGAAGCCAAATGAGTGACGAGATGAACAAAGTCCAGAAAAACCGAAAGTCGCAATCTCCCACAACTTGACCAATTACTTGTGCCCACCAAGCAGAATCATATCCCAGCATAAGTGCTCAACCTATGCCCGAGGGCTGTAAGCAACACTCAGTAGCGACAGAACCCCTTCTTCATGCCCTGCTCCCTCACTCACCATGCTTCTAGCAGTCCTTGTCGTGCTCCTCCTTCTTGGGCCACTTGGGCCATTCGGGCCATCCTCCCTTCTTTTCATGCTCCTCTTCCTTCTTCCACTCTCCCTTTTCCTTTTCCTTGTGTTCCTTCTCCTCCCTCTCCAACTCTTCCTTCTTCTGTCTTTCTTTCTCTTCCTTTTCCAATTGCTCATGTTGCTTTTCCTCCTTCTCATGCTTCTCCCAATCCTTCTCTCTCTGTTCCTTTTGCCGCTCTCTCTCTTCATGCTCTGCCTTCTCGTGCTTTTGTCGTTCCAGTTCAGCCTTCTCCTTCTCCTGTCGTGCCTTCTCCTTTTCCCATTTCTCCCTCTCTTGCCTCTCGCGTTCCTGCCTCTCCTCTCTGCTTCTCTTTCTCTATCCTTTCCTTCTCGTGTCTCTCCCTTTCCTTGGCTTCCCGTTCGTACTTTTCTTTCTCCCACCTCTCCCTGGCCTCCTTCTCCTTCCTTTCTTTCTCATACCTCTCCCTCTCTACTTTCTCGTGCTCCTCTCTTTCTCTTTGTTCCACCTCCTTTTCCCACTTCTCATGTCCATCATGCCCGTCCTTTCCGTCATGCCCATCGTGTCCGTCATACCCGTCCTTTCCGTCGTGTCCATCATGTCCATCATGCCCGTCCTTTCCATCCTTTCCGTCATGGCCGTCATACTCGCCATGTCCGTCCTTTCCGTCATGTCCATAGTATCCATCGTCTCCATCGTGCCCATCGTGTCCGTCCTTTCCGTCATGCCCGTCCTTATCCCACCATTCCCCGCCTCCTCGCCTCCACTTGTCTTTCTTCTCCTTCTCATGGCCTTCAAGCTTAGGCCAGTATTTCTCGTCCGGATACAGAAGTTTCTCGATATCCTTTACATTCCAGCCATCGACGCCCTCAAACGCCTTGTGCAGTCTCTCCCGCTCCTCCTTGGGGAAGCGGTCATGGAACTCCTTGATCTGCTTGGGGCTGAGAGGCCAGAAGGCCTTGACCTTCAGCTCACCGTCGAACTCCCGCAAGACGCCATCGTGTCCGAGATGAACCTGCCCTTGTGGTCGGGGGGTAGTTTGCAGACCTCGTAATCGGGCTCCTTGCCTGAGACGTCCTGTGCTGGGGTTAGATAGATGTAGATCGTAGAGCTGAGGGGGAGTGACTTACGGTGGGAGCCGCGATGGCACCGCCGAGGAGAAGGAGGATCAGGAAGGCAGGGAGCTTCATCTTGGGATGACTTTGAGGGCTGGTCCGGAGTTACTTTGGAGGGTTGAGAGGATGCGGTTGTTGGTGATGGATTTGGTCTCGATGGAGGGGGGAGAAGGGGGCTATTTATCTTCCAGATCGAGTGTATGTGTTGATACCTGGTCAGGGACTTGCTGGGCAGCTCCGTGGTCTCAATTACGCGTTCAGAGCAGCTGTTTTGGCAACGGATTATCTTGTGATTTGTAGAGCATAGGTTCCCCTGTATACATGTTTGGGTAGCTTTCAGTTCGAACGCGTTAGACATGGCGGATGCATGTTGGTCCAGATCAGGATGTGACGCGATGCAATGTTAGCCACCCCTTCGGATAATATACCCAGATATGAAGCTATGTTGTCTCTCTACCGTCTGACAGGAACAGCCTACACTACTATACTCTATTGTAGACACTGTAATGTGCAGGCCGATATCACCACCGGTATCTACAAGACTATAACATATCGCCCCAAACCCCCAATCCTAAAGATCGCCATCCCCCACAAAACAACAGTTCGCAACCTGCCAAAACCCTCATTAGAGACCCTTACCACTCTAACACTGACCCCCAAGAACTCTTTACGTAACTCATCCCAGACAATCCCTTCATATGCAGAGGGCCTGAGCTCCTGTCCGGAAACACAATACCTCGTACAACTAGGAAGTAGGGCTTAGGTTTCGGCCTCGGGAGAGAAACAACCCGATCGCAATGGATGGTGTTCCTTGCCCGTGTACGCGGACTCTCGGGCTTGGCCGTGGACTGGTTCATGAACGCCGTGAGATTGCCACGAACACGATGACGCATGCTTATCGGACTAGGCAGATCTTAAAGTGGTTTCGTAAGTTCTTAATCTGGCTTACTGCGCCAATCGGGGGGATCGGTTCTGGACTGGTCCGGAATACGTATTACCAGGGAAGTTGGATGTAGATCTCGCAGGGAGGGGTTCTGCCCTGATACGGTGGTTTTTATTTGGAAATACATTACGTGGATGAGGAAGATCTGGATCTACCAGTACTTGGATCCAGGTCTACATCAGCTCACCTGAGATTTTCCTTACCACGTCTTACCTTTTCCTCATCATCGATCGCGTATTTGTAACCAAGCTTCGCATAGAGCTCCTCCAAGCTCTTCTCATCCTCTATTATCCATTCCCCCGCGAAGATCAGGTCGCGCCCCGAGTCTTCACGGTACAAAAATGGTTCTTCATAACCATTTGACCTATAAAGCATGTAGCTTGCTTGGTGCATACCTAACTCGGTGGGTTCCTCCTCTGCGAATGGAGTATACCCTTCATCACCCGCGTATTGGAAACGCTGGCGGTGCGGCAGGTCTTGGAAAGATTTGAAATAATCGTGCCATCGTTTGTCGTAGGTTGCGTAGCGACTTCGCCGTGTTCCAGTACGGGTCGTGTAACTATCCAGATCCAGGTAGGCCATTTCTTTATCAGCTGTTTCCTTGATATCCCAGACGATGGCGCAGACGTATAAGCTGAGTTCGGTGAGAGTGTTGCGGTGACTGAGGATCCAGTCTAGCTAGGAGTCGTGGACGAAAGTACATCTGGTCAATTGGAGAATCCTCAATCGTGGGAAATGTACACCACGGAGATCAAGCTTTGGGTAGTAGCCCCAGAAATTTTCCTGGCCGAGGCCGAGCTCTTCTAGATTTTGGAGAGCGGGCTTCAGCCAGAAGGACGGGATCGCGGAAAAGAAACGCTGGGTTTCGTCTGTCTATTAGCAGCAGGTTAGCCTATGGTAGGTAGCGATGAAACGTGAGTACAAACGTGTGCAGAAGACTCTGGGTCGCTGCTGCTATAATGGGCGAGGTCTAGGCGGAGCGAACGCAGATTCTTTAGGACATTCTGGATTTTCTCTCTCCGCCACGTCGGGGTTGGGCTCGTTCACATCCTGGAAGTTTTGAAAGATGAGTTCCCGTGGCGGTTCAGGCAGCGCTGCAATCCCCGACATGAACTCATTGATCACGACTGAGCGGCATTCCAGCATCTTAGACAAATCCCAACGTCCAACACTCCCCGGGAAGCGAAGTGCCACGCTCTGGAGTCGTGGAAGCCCCTTAAGACGATGGAACAGCTCTAGGCATTTGCGAAAGGGTTTCTCTTCATGCTCATCTGGGATCCCATAGGGGAACTTGAGCCTATGATAACCTAAAAACTGGGTGCATATGTTAGTTTCCTTGCCCAAAGGATGTACAGGGAAGGGAAACTAACGCCAAAGAGGATCCGCAGGTTGAAAAAGACCTTTTTCACATGTTTCCACAACCATGCTCAACGACCTTGGTAAAATGGTCGCAGCTCCTCTCTGGTGGTACAACTTCCCAGCATTCAAAAAACTGTGGTTTGCTGATCTCGTTTAGGGAACAGCATACGAGGCGTACCTCTTCGAGCTCGTCTGGATCTATGTAACGGATGATCCGGTAGAGAATCTCAATGGGAAGTGATGTGAGGCTCGGAATTGCGCTGTGTACGCCGTATACTCAGTCTAGATCTACTAGACTTGTACTGTGTATTTTCGGATACCCAGCAGGCCTGCCTGGGACCTGATTTGGCACTACTAGGTGGCGTGGCGATCGCAGAACATGTATTCTGCCTTTAAATTCACCAGTCGCTCCTTGCAATTCGTAGTAGTATACAGAGCTATGTGCGTTTGGTAAAGTGCTTGCTGAGTGTTGCAGGAGGGACAGTAGTTTAGAAGCATTGAATGTAGCGGGAAATATTAAAAATATTAAACAATGCCTTACCCTCAAGGTGTCCACGCCCCGATAAGATAACGTCGGCAAAACATCGGTCCGGTCGACATTTTCAACAGCGATGAAAGTGAAAAGCCGACAGCATCAAACCAACAGCCGCCTGCTAATGATTTAATGATTGCCATATACCTTGTTTAATCGCATCTTCCTCCTCCCTATACCCCAAGTCCGCATCTCTATTAATTATCCTCCGTCGAAATGGGTGTCCAAAAGAAAACCCGCAAGTTCGCCCAGGTACGCAATTCCAACCGCCGTATCAAACCCACCAGAAAATCACCAAAACTAATCCCAAACATGAAACCAGGTCAAACGGGCGATCAAAAAGCACGATGACCGCGCCAAGAAAGACAACAACGCCCCAAAGCAAGACAAGGCCAAGGGCGACGAGGTCGTCCGGGCGATTCCCCAAGCTCCGTCGAATATGTTCTTCGCCGCCAACACGGCCCTCGGACCCCCCTACCATGTGCTGGTGGATACCAACTTTGTGTCGCACTCTATTCGCGCGAAGACGGATATGCTGAAATCTATGATGGACCTGTGCGTTGCGATGCTACCATACGGTGGTTGCGGTGGCGATGGCTGATTCTCGATAGGCTATATGCGAAGTGTATCCCGACGTTTACGGATTGTACGATTGCGGAATTAGAGAAGTTGGGCGATAAGTTCCGGTTGGCGCTGAGGGTGGCTAAGGATCCGAGATGGGCGCGCGTGCGGTGTGATCACCCCGGTACATATGCGGATGACTGTTTAGTTGATCGGGTGAGTTTTGGATCGTTCGTAAGCTATAGGATGACATGGTCTAACTGAGTCGAAGATCACAAAACACAGAATCTACATCGTGGCGACGAACGATAAGGACCTCGTTCGCCGGATTCGCAAGATTCCCGGTGTGCCGATTATGAAGGTCGCAAGAGCGAAATACGTGATTGAGAGGCTGCCTGACCACTTTGAGTGAGCATGTGCAAGGGTCTAGAAGATCTCGTGTTGACAACTACGGATTCCACATCTGGTTGGGACGGTCGGACCAGAGGATTGCAAATCCGACTCCAATCCTGCGATATCGGCAGATCCTTATCGGCGGAATCCATCATCAATCCAATACCGCCGCGGACTCGCTTGGATTATCTGCGGAGGAGCGGTTTCAGGACTCAGCTACGGAGGACACTGAATGTAACTAGCAAGGCTGTATACGACTTCAATGATGATAATTTGATACCATTGGTATACCCAGAGTGGAGATGGTCAAAATACGCCAGCAAGATGACTCAACTGCGGCATTTTCTCATAGATCTAGACTCGATTAAAGATATAAATACCCCATCAATGTATATGCGGGGTCAGCCTTATCCTTTACCCAAGACAGATTTATATACACCTCCCTCAATTGACAATCCAATTTAATCCATTTCACCAAACAATCTCCCTAAATCAAAATGCCCGAAAAAGAAACAATCGTAGTAATCGGGTACGTCCTTTCACCATTAATCTATACCAACCTCCACAACCCAAAACCAGCTCTCCAAATCTAACTCCCAAACAAAAGCGCCGGGGTAATCGGCCTCACAACAGCTCTCCGTATCCAAGAAACGCTCAATCGCAACCAATCCATCCACCTCATTGCGCGCGACTTCCCCAACACCACGTCCCTAAACTACGCCTCCCCATGGGCAGGCGCACACTACCGACCGGTACCTGGTTCCACGCCGCAGGCCGTCCGCGAAGAAACCCAAGCCAAAGAAACCTACCGCTACCTCAAACAGCTGGCCTCAAGCGACGTCTCCTCGGGCGTAGCAGTGGTAGAAGGGATCGAGCACCTCGAGAACCCGCCGGCAGAATATCTGGACGAACAGAGCGTCCGAGAAAGCTACGGCCATCTGGACGGGTTCCGGCGCCTGGGGAGAGACGAATGTCCCGCGGGTGTGAGATGGGGCGTTCGATACGATACGGTCGCGATTAACTCGCCGGTATACTGTGCGTATCTATTGCGGAAGTTTGTTCTGGGGGGTGGAGTTGCTAGGGAATATACGGTGATTGATCCGAAGGAGGCGTTTTATCTAGCCCCGAATGTGAAGACGGTGGTGAATTGTTCAGGGCTGGGGTTTGGG